TCAACGCTGAAAAAGTGAAACTGGATAGTGAGCTAGAAAAAGTAGTTGAAAAAGCAACGAAAGTTGAAGAAAATGGTATTGAAAAAGCAACGATTCGAAAAGTTACCCTCGGATCTATAGAGAGTAGTGTGGAATCTACCAATGTAAAGGATGCTGACGATGTTTCGAATATCCACAACCAGACAAAAGATTTTCGCAATGATCAACTTTTCAAGACAAAATTAAAATCCTTTCTTAAACAGTATGATCTTCGTGAGTCTCAATTTAAAGCGGTAGTGCGAGCCAAGGATCTTGAATTGCAAGTGGCCTTGATCAATCGAGACCAGTCGCGTCGCGAGGCTGATCAAAATGCGAAACGCGCTGCTACACTCTCAGACCAGGTCACTAGCTTTATAAAAGCTGAGGGGGAACTCAAATATCAACTCAATACCTATGTTGATAAATTCAAGCAGGTCGAAGTTACATTAAATAATAGTAACGACCTATTTGGTACCTTCCGTGCAGAAATGGAAACTATGACACAGAAGTTAAAAGTATTAGAGAAGGATAGTATTAAGAAAGATCGATTAATTCTAAAGAAGGATGCGGAAATTGCTAAACTGACTAGAGATATGGGTATCGTAGCTAATGAAAAGGTTAAAGCTACGTTAGAAGCTCATGCCATGCGAGCCAAGTTGGATAAATTTCAAATCCTGTGTCGGCAACTCCAAACTGAGCGTGATAATTTGCAGTGTTTGAATAGTAGCACCGCTCTGACAATTGAAACTTCCCCTAAACTCTCCAGATCTGTAGAAGTTGATCCCTATGCAGCCGCTAAACCTATTGTGACAGAATCTCTGGATGACACCGAGGAAAGTGAAGATGACGATCTTGCAGGCCTTGAAAGTGGTAACCACGATGAAGATGATAACAATGACGATGATTATAATGAAGATTACGATAATGAAGAGAGTGAAGATAATGACAATAATGATGACAATGATGAAAGTGAAGAAGATTCAAAGAATCCCCATATGGACTCCACCTTCATTGATGAATACAATATAGACCTTGAGGACTGCTATGATGAATATTCTGACGATTTTGAATCTGGTGATTCACAAGATGACCATAGCCATGGTGAGGATGGTTTATGTCGTCATCATCACCACGGATATCATCACCACGGTCACTCGCATAACCACTCGTATGATGAATATGAAGATGAGGATGATTTTTACTACTACGATGACCATAGACATGGTCACTCTCATGGCGGTCACTCTCATGATGACACTAGTGATGTGGAACGTGTGCATAAACGGCTACAGCAAATTAACCAAGAGTCCATAGCAGAAACATTTGGGGGTGATACGGTGACTTTGCCAGATTATCTTAAACCATTTGCATCAGTGTTTATGCCGCAAGCCGTCAATCCCGATGCCCCCGAAGATATTAGTACGACATTATCTACCCCAATTACCCCCGATGACTCATGGCTACCATCTTCAGGGCTATTTGAACGATTATTTGGTATTGATCTCGAACACTTCAATTTCGATAACTTTTTCCATCAGCTAGTTAAGGATCATACAGATTGTAGTGCATCCTGTCCGATCCATAATGTAGATGCACCTAGTCGTCAAGAATGGTTGAAACTATTACAGGGATTTCGTCACCGATTAGATCGTGAGGTATTGACATCATCAGGGGTTTCCGCTGCAGCATTCGATGCTTTGGATAGTGCCAACCCCAACAACAAGAATGCTAGTATCAAATCAAAAGCGAAATGTACAGAATTGGCCGTTGGTGATGGGTTAGACCTTATCAGACATATTAATGTGTTTTTGAGTATCATTGGCCATAAACCAACAAGTGTTATCCCTGTTGAATCAAATGCTCCTATTAAGTCAAATGCTCCTATTAAGTCAAATACTGCAGCCATGCCGACTAGCCCCGCAAAATCTAATGCTTCTACCCTACAAGTGGAAGATCCACATTTATATAGGGCCCATAAACCAGTTTTTGGCCCTCAGAGGCCAGATCATCTATTAGCGGCAATGCCGACGCCCCACTCAGTTGATTAAGGTCAAACCAATTCTGACAGCTTCTATAGAAAGTTAGTCAAGTTATCTGTCTGTGTGGCTGAGATATCTCAGAACCTCGTTTTTTGATAATATTGTACAGTGAAAAAAAAAACAATCTTTGTAATTCATAAATCTTCTGTCTATGTAAATATGCGATTTAAATAATATAAAACCGCTCCATTAGAAATTAAAAAAGGAAAAAATAGAGCGAGTAAGAAACTAATGAAAGACAACTATAGTTCTATTAACAGTATTTTATCAGCTTCGAAATTAATATTGTGCAATAGGTCTGTACTCGACTTAGAAGAGTTCGAAACTTAAGTTTCAATTACTCACTAACTTCAATAATGCTTCATCTTCACCTAGAGTCCGGTATCAACAAATCTCCCAGTTTTAGATAAAAACGTAGCTGCTCTAGGCCAAACCTCCACTTGAAACGGTTCAAACGGATAAGACTCGCCATCCATCGATAAATATCCATGCCCATCTTCCTCGGCTGGTGTTAATCGATAAGCTTCAATTTTGGCATATTCTATTCCCGGAGAATCAAGATGGGCGCCCGTTTCCGTAGCCACCATAATAGGAATACTATGAAATGGCGACATAGTATTGGAGTAACATAGATCCATAGCACCATCGTGGGGCAATGCTGCTGGGAAAAATTGATTTTCGGTGGATACCCAGGGTAACTTTGATACGTAGATCATACTAGCGTTCGGAAGATTATGTGAAGTCCAGTCGGATGGTAATTCATCTTCAACAGTACCAAAACGAGGAGTGAATTTCTCCGCAGGTGTAGTGTTATTTTCAATGTTATCCATATATTGTGCAAAGTGTCGACGAACCTCTGATTTGGATGATGCTTGATATTTAACGTCTAGCCGACATGGGTAGGTCTTACTAAACAGCAAACGTTGCACGACGCCGAAAGAGAATCGTGCACCACCCATCCAACGCAGATGTTCGGTTCCCAGATCACTTTCGGCAATAAGTCCGTGGGTCTGTGTAAGGAAAGTTAAGTATGAACCCTTAGTCTTTTGTGAGACTACCATGAGATCTGACTTCAGCCTATACCCTTTGATTATGGCTAGTGCAGATTCACTTGGTGATGCTGTGCCGTTGAGAGACTTTGCCAAAGCGTTACCAGATCCGCAAGGTAGCTGACATATCGCCGTATTAGCCAACAGCTCAGTGGCCCTTTTACTTCTCTTTTTACCATCCTCATCCTCGTAGTCCCACATCCCGTTTAGGATCTCATGAGGGATACCGTCTCCGGAGGCACACACAATAGCATCGTATTTTCCCTGTGAAACCTTTTCACGACCAATATCACGAGCATGGCCTGCATACTCCGTCGTTATCACATCCACCAAGCACCTAGCAGCCTTAAACAAAGGCGCCCCCTCGGAGCGGTAAGTTCGAATGGCATGGCCCTTACCTCCGTGGGGGTTGACGATTACCATAAGCCGCTTGGAAAGCTGACATCCCATAGGATAAGCCTGTTTTAATATATATTCGCATAAGGATTGAGCAGTAGGCCATTCGGACCACTGGTCGAGGCTGAGAGCCAGGAGTAAGCAGTCCTCTGTATGGGGTTTAACTACAGAAGAAGAGATATGGCCGGCGTAGCTCAAAGAAATGTAATGTCCACGAGGGTCAGTGACAGAGGGTGTAGGAATATTCACAGATGAAGGCTCGGCCCAGAGAATATCATAAAACCCAATTCCACCCGTTCCAGATATATCCGACGATATTAATGGTGATGACGAAGAGTTTTGTTTCAACGAGGAAGGAAAACATGAGAATAATAAGCCTTCAGTGGGTTTGAAGAGGCCTTGACTTGGGTCCTGTTGCACATTAATCCCTGATGGGGTCAAAATAGCTTCAATCATAGAGGCTCTTATAATATAAAAACCAAATTCTGATCACAGAGTGGAAAAATGTATAGGACTTTAAACTTGATTGTACACACCTTGTACGCGGGGTTCGGATCGGAAATATCTGGAAGGTTGGGAGTGTCGCGTATTTACAGTTTTGACTATATTAAATACGAGAGATTGCATTAATGTATACGTATATATTAAAAACAAATACTTTTTAGGTTCAAGACCATTATCTTAATATTTTTACATGAGAACAGTTGAATCGGCGGGCTTGTGTACTAACCGGTAAGTGCAAGTGACTATCTGATAACTCTGTCCGTTTTCCTTTCTTATTAGGGCTGATAACGACCACCCAAACAAATTCTTGCCACGTTCTGACCCGACCTTGACCTTACCAGAGGCTGTAACCATTACGCCACCGGCTAAAGCGTGACAGTCAAAATCAGCCAAATCATGTGTGGTGGGCCGCGGCATGTTTTGGTAAGTAGCCAAAAAGATATCGCGACCAGCAAACGGGGTCCCGTTCCATACGATAGGGGCTTGAGGTAGCAAAATATTAATTAGATTCTCCGAGTGGTTATCGAGTGACTTCAATAATAACGTCAAAAAAGCATCTACATCTATAAAATGGGTTAGCTTGCATAGCTGAGATAGGTGGTTACGATGGAAACTGAAAACATACCCTTGGTTATCGTTACGACATTCTGGCCAGCCAGTTGCTGGTTTTGGCTTTGATTTTGCTGTCCAAACATGTGGATTTTGTTAATAATGTGAGAATATCGTGGTTTTCCAGACCAGTCCTAACTAATTTATTTTTTAAACTATACAGATGTCTATGTTTTTTCACTACTGAAAAATGATGATGGCATATATCTCCCAACCTTTGGGCTCTAGAACAATAATTTGACTTGAAATGCCTTTAGTGTTATGATTAGTCATTAGACGTATCGAATATTAATTAGACTCCGTGTAGCCTAATGGTTAATGCGTTCAGGCTTTCTAATCTGACGATTGTGGTTTCCACTCCCATCATCGTTGCCAAATATTTTTAGGCTTCCTGGCCAAGTTGGTTAAGGCGGGCGACTGCTAATCTTGAGGTTGAGAGTTCAACGCTCTCAGAGGTCTTTTTTTTATTGCTTACAGATTATTTGAGAAATTGCCAAGCTATTTTTTGTAAGAGCTAAGCGTTGGTTTAATAAATTCCTGTTTTTTGGAGACACTTTTCGTAGACTTCTTTCTCTCTTTTGCGAAAGCAAAACTAATCATCATAATTTTAAGAATCGTGGATTGATCCCTTAATGTTTACGCGCTTCTTTCCAAGTAGAATATAAACACTATGCACACCAAAGCCCGTCCTACCCATCTAAGCATAGGTAGCGCTTGACTGCTGAGAAGGAGTGATATGGGGGATAAGAGTAAATTTCGAAAATGAGTAGAGATTAAGTTTAGGCACTTTGACCGTTAAAAAACATAAAATAAATAGCAGATTAAATATTTTGTGCTCTTTATGGGGTGCTTCTTCAGGAAGAATTACGATGAAAGATAGTTACCCAGAAAACAAGATTACGAAAATGAATATAATATAAGCAATTTATCTCGTTGATTGCCTTTGGTATATTCAGATCATTATAGAAGTTATTTATTTTTACACCTGGCCTTTTAGCTGCTAGAAAAAGAGAATAAAAGAGAAAGAACTTTAGCCCCAAGCTTAGCTACCATTGTTTGGGCCACAGAGACCTCGCAAGTCGGAATAACCTATTGGTATCGGTAACGGACGGGCTTGGAAGGCACTACAATAATGAAAACAGCATTTTTTTAAAGACTCTAAAGTTATAAAATTGATTCTGCCAAGACCTACTAGCGCAAATCTCAGAATAGACCTAGTTTCGTGAATCACAAAAAAGCACAAATTAAGAGGGCTGGTCATAAAGCAGTCGTCTGATAGCTCACGTCTGATCTGCGGCGGGTGGCTGGTGGTTCCCACCACTGTTATCTATGGGTTTTCACGCGCGTAATCCATAATAACACGTAACTGACCAACTCCCAAAACACCAAATAAACGCGTAAACACCACGACCTCAAGTCATAAAGCACTCGTTAAACACGAAATGTCAGCGATCCCGTCGCGAAAACGCGTGTATTTTCTTTTAAAAACTCACGTGACCAAGACTCCAAAACAAAGCTGAGTCAGCCGACAAATGGCGGGTTTTTGCTTTTCGGGCCTCAACCCGCCTTGAGCTTTTCTATCAGCAGGCTCTCTCAGAATTCTGGGCCCTTTTTTTTCTTTTCGTCACTCTCCTATCGTTCTAGTTTTTATTGTTATTTTTTTTTAAATTTGTTTGTTTTACTTTGTATTTCTTGTCTTGACTGTTTTTGGAGTTGAACTTAACATCATTCTTTCTCCAATTTCTCCATTCCCTGTCGTGTCAACTCGTCTTGTCTAGTGAATTGAACTCTCGAACTAGAACGTTCTCATACTCCTCTCCTTCACTGTCCTACTTGTGCTTTCATTCATTGTGAGTCTCTCGTGCCTACTGTTTTCTTATATATCTTCTTTTTATATATTCACCGTCTCAGTTTGCTCGCTACATTACCCCTGTACTTCATTCATCCCCACCCACTACGACCAGTATTCTCTCCCAAACGATTTAGACCCAACACAGCTAGCGTACCAACCACCTACTTAGACGCCGTGTTTTAACCTCCTGCCAACTCTGTCAACTTTTATTTAATTTTATCATCATTGACTAACCCTGAAGTTTGCTATACTCTCTATTGGTTGTTGATATCGGTTTTTTTTAATATAAGCTAGTTCTCAATTGTTCCTGAGATATTTCCCAAATCTAGCTATATCGAAGGTCAAGAAGCTTACTTTATTCAAGTCTCTCACTTGCTATTTATTTAATCAAACCGCTGTCTCATTCGTTGCTCAATTTAGTTCTTCCCGTTAGGATCGAGCAATAACGCGTTGAGCATCAATTAGGAGGACCTTATCTTCCTCATTTGATCACAAGATACTGCCATAATGAGCCACAATCAAACAGTATGTATTGGCGCTTAACTAAAATTCTTATTATAAACTATTACTAATTCTCTTTAGACACACCCAGCTCTGGCCGTGTTCGATGAAAACTCTATTGCTTCCAGGCTTAATCGTGCCAAGTCAGCTACTTTAGGTTCCGAATCCCATCCCACCGTTACTAGTCGAAAGCGAGCTGCTCTGGGAGATCTCAGTAATATGCCCGGTGACGCTAAATCACTTAAACCTGCCAACAAATTAGTTACTGTATCTACCATTGGTAAGAATAGTACTAGTGCTGAACAAGTTCAACATAATTTGTCTAATAATGCTGCTACTAGATTGCCAGCACCTGTGGTCTCTCTTCCCAGAAAGATGCCGTCCAAGGAAACAATACAAGCACCCAATTCTGCAAACACATTATCTAACGAAATCGAGGCTACTGCACGATTTAAGAAGCGCCCAACTACTTCAATTGTAACTAGATCTTCTATCTCGTTACCATCGTCTAATCGGGCGTCTACTGTAGTATCAACGTCTTCAAGCCGTGCTTCTACTGATGAATCACAACTTACCTCGGCTCCTCCCTCCACAAAATCATCATCATCATCAGCATTAACCGCTACTACAGTAACAGGGCAAAAGCGCAATACCGAAACTAGAGATCAGTCTTTGGAAATTCAGGAGATTGGGTCAGCGGAATTTGCGTCATCCTCGTCGGTATCTGAACCCAACCATTCTGCTACCACAACAACGAATATAACAAAATCGGATGATGAAACATTAGTGCAAGTAATTGAACAATCATCGAAGGACAGTGTTGATACTATTGCTCCCACCACCGTTTGTGTTACTGACAACGGTGTAGCTATTAAGAAACAAAAGATTAATATAGATTGGGATGATTTGGATCAAGAAGAGTTTGATGATCCTCTAATGGTCTCAGAATACGCTGTAGAGATTTTCGATTATCTCTATTCTCTCGAGACAAAATACATGCCTAACCCGCGATATATGGACGATCAAAGTGATTTGGACTGGAAAATGCGGGGTGTTCTCGTGGACTGGCTCGTCGAAGTACATACCAAGTTTCGTTTGCTACCCGAAACGTTGTTTTTGGCGGTGAATATCGTAGATCGATTCATGTCCGTCCGAGTGATCACGCTAGAAAAAGTTCAACTGGTGGGGATTGCATCGATGATCATCGCAGCTAAGATTGAGGAGGTATTCGCCCCTTCGGTACAGAATTACGTCTACATCGCCGATAACGGTTACGAACAAAAAGAGGTCCTAAAAGCCGAAAAATGTATTTTGGAAGTCTTGAATTTCGACTTCTCTTACCCAAACCCAATGAACTTTTTACGCCGGATCTCAAAAGCTGATAATTATGATGTACAAACAAGAACGATTGCCAAGTATCTTTTAGAAATTGGGCTTGTGGATCATCGACTTATGCCCTACAAAACCTCTAAAGTAGCTGCGGCGTCTATGTACATGGCACGAATGATGCTCAAACGTGGCGATTGGAATGACAATTTAGTTCATTACTCGGGCGATTATACTGAGTCGGACCTTATTGATGTTGTAAATGCCCTGCTGTCGTACCTTACAGAGCCGGTTACTCATGAGGCCTTTTTTAAGAAGTACGCTAGTAAGCGATTCTTGAAGGCATCCATCATTGCGCGAAAATGGGCTCACGAAACTGTGGGTGCTGGTGCTAACGCCGAAGGTTGGTGAAAAACGGTTGAACACCTACCTCGTTTAAACACTTAAAATTTGCATATTTCTTAAATTTATCCCTCTCTTTTTCACATCAGTCTTGCATTTTTCTTCCCTTTAATTTATATGGTAATGTTTTTATCTATGTGCTTCCCTTTGGTTAAATTATACATATATATATGTATATATGTACGTATATTAGCCCCTTTCATTCTTGCATTGTTTAAATTCATAACAAAAAATACATTCATAAAAATAATAAACAGTATATTAAACTTCAATTTACCTGAGATTAAAACCGACATATTTGGATCAGTCTAGATGGAGGCCCTTGCCGCTTGCGGTGCGGCGCTTTATTATACACCCATAAACATAATAAGAGAATGTATAACTTACCAGAAGAATAACATGAGAGGATGGGGTATGTTCAAAATGAATCCATTAACAGTAAAGTATAGCACATTGATACAAACAGAATTCGTCCAGAAATTTCCTGATAAGTAATCAACTCTACCAGCCCAGAGTAAGATGCGACTGTCTATTTGTGCAAAGTGGTTTGTTTTTTTCATTGAAAGACCTCGGGTTTATTGGTGGCATGACCTTAATCTTAGAGCGGTACATTTTAGGCAAGTCACCTACACATTAACCTTTGAAGGTGAGTGTTTTTAAATACAGCGTAAATGTTAAGCTAATTGGAAGCCTTCCGAACTATTACTTGCAATGAAGTATTTTCGTCATTGAAAATGCTTTTCATGGCTACTCTATTAGAATTTTCGAAGTATCGAATGACAAGCTGTGTCACATCATTCTTTATTTCTGACACAACACAAATCAAAAGAATAGAACATGAAAACAGGCCGTTAGGATTTGACAGCTAATTTGTATGGAAGCTAAGAACATAAAGTTTTAGAACCATAATGGAAAATATCCCCATGAGTCAGTTTTTTATTAACTTGCACTTAACTCTTTAAGATCTCACGCATCTCTGGAATTTTTACTAGTTTAATAATAACAGGTTTGAGAGTAATAAGCATATTTATATGAAGCCGAATAAAGCAATAAAAGATTTACAATTGAATAAGGTGGTATGATCTTATAGCTTCTACATATTTTTTGTATCTATATTCAATCATTCCCATTTAAACCATATACACCAAACCCAGATGGGATTTCCAACCTTTAGTTGGTTACCCGGTTGTTTGAACAATGAAGGTACATTTTTCCAACTTTTCGCTCCGGGTACACCTCGCCGAGATGAAATAGTAGCTATTTAAGGTTAAATCTCTATCAATATAAAATATACCAACGATGTCTGCTAGTTTTTTTTCAAAGGTATGTTTATTTAGTGCATCACTGGCAAATTCAAGTTAATATACCTTCTCTTACT